TGACTGTTGCTGAGTGACTAGACTATTGTAAAAAACAAAACACAATTTTTTTTGACTAATTACAAACTGAGCATTGAACCCTTTGTAGGTGTAGAAGTGTGCTTACTTTGATCGACTTCCTGTTTCTCCCAGGGAGTCTGTGGTTTATCTTCAGTGGCCCACCCTGCCTGTGACAATAAGTAGATTGGATTTCCAAAGATGACTCTCAGGTTACTCAGGGTCAGGGGCTATTTGTCCTGAAGTCTGACTCCCGCTGTGCTGCTTAAGGGAGCCGTGTGGCTTTAGAGAAAATGTGGTTCCTGGAAACACACACACACACACAAACACACACACACACACACACACGTTGTGTGTTTAGGGCTCTGCTAATTACCAGCTTATTTGGTGATTTCTGATTAATGGTTTAGACTATTGACCTTTCCTATAAGACGGTTATCAGTTATTCAGATTTGATTGTGAAAACAAGGTAGCAATGGATTCCAGATTTTTAAAAGGGCTATTTGATGAATGGTGTGGGAATATAATGTTTGTTTGTTCAGTCACATTAGAAATTTACTACCTCAAGATCTGTCCTTTAAGAGACTGCTTAGTGAAGTGCGTTGGGACCAATCTTATCTCAGCTCCTTCCCATGACTCTCATTCAGGTGTCAGAAAGACACACTGCAGAGGCAGGAAGTTCCCGAGGCTTGGGCTGTTTGTTTTCCTTGGGAGAAGAGTTTGGTGTTGAAGATTCAAGACTTACTATTTTAGCTTAAAGTTTAAATTATTTTTTGTTTAATTTTGATATCATTTGAAATCTAAAAATACTGTTGATTATACATATTTATGAAATGAAGAAATGAATACAATAGCCAAAAACAGTCTTAGAAGACTGGATACTCTCTGTCCATTACAGATGCAATTGTTTGGCAGTCAGATTATTTTTAATTTGGAAAAAACAGTAGTTTGCCTTTTTTTAAATTTTCTTTTTCATCTCTGGAAGAAGATCTAGAAGAAAGATAAAAAGGTTCTCATTTGATTTTGCAAGAATATGTACGTTCTGCTAATAACACTTTTAAGTATTATTATTTGTAAATTGATTTACACAGAAATTGATTTATATTCAGTAAGTTTATTTATGATTAGCTGTGTTTTGCTTTATTTTGTCTCAGAAAATCATGGTTACATTTTCTCAGTTGAGGAACTTTGAGATTCTGTAATACATCCAAAGTAAATGGCATAAATGCAAACGCAGGCTCATATATTCTCATTCTCTACCTTTCAGGTGAAAACCTATAGCTAAGTAAGTTGTGATTAAAGAAATTAAGATGCACATGTGGAAATCAGAGTTCAGTCTTTATATTTCTGCAAAAGTATTTGATCAGATGTCCAGGAAGAAATAAAGTGTGGGTTCTATTAAGAAACAACAGATAAACTGTACAAAGAGTGTTGCAAAATAATATTTGCAAAATGAATCATTCAAACTTTTAATCCTACAGAAAAAGAAAAACTTCTATGGCCTGGGATCCCTGGGGATGACAGGACAGAGTCAGGCTGAGCTGCAAGGGAATATTTAGATGTATCAATCCAGGAAAGGAGGACATTCCGAACGGGAAGGAGGCAGCGTGGAGGAACGTGTGCTAGCCTGGCCCCTGGGAGTAGTAGTATCCTGCAATAGAAAAGGAGATGATGGTCACATGGTAGAGGGGTTGTAAAGTTGGCCTAGAACGTGAGGATTTATTTTTTTGGCAGTGGAAAACCTTGCATGGTTTTTGGTGGTGGGAAGGAGTGCTATTTGCAAATAGCTCACCTTTTTCCTCATGGCCCAGGCGCCTGATGGTCAGAACTTCCGTCATGTTGTGATGCAGTGTAAGAGCCAAGTTGCTGTGGCCGTAAGTGGTGTTTCAGGACCCTGCTTTGCGTACTTGCTTGGAGGCCTGGCTCCTGGAGCAGAGCCTGTGTGTTGGCCAGCGCGAGGGAGAAGCAGCAGGTGCATCCAGTAGTGTAGACTCCGCATGTCACGCTTGAGATCACACCAAGAGGGCAGAGTTCTGTAGATGCAGTAGTGAGTCCTTGATACAACAAACTTTAAAGCTGAAAATTTATTTTGGAAATTATAGAGATTTAAGGGCTTATTAGAAACTGAAGTTTATCAAGTGGTTGAATTCATGGGATTTATGCAAATTGCTGTCAGCTTAGCCAACCACCAGTCATTTCGTTTTGACACGGAGTCTGGCCGGGGGAGCCAACACGCCCTTTCTCATGTCTGAAGTGCCGCTGCCAAGATCCCGCAGTTCCTCTGTCAGACGGGAAGAAGTGTGGCCTTCTCTGGAGCCACCTTCCACAATAACAGGGTTTGTGCAGAGGTTCCCCATTTTCTAGACGCAGTGAACCTGATGAGAACTTGAAATTCGTCCCACTGCAATGCCAATCAGCATTTTAGCTGCAGTAAGTGAACTGGCAATAACTCCTTTTCCTTTTGTTTTCTTTTCTTAAAGCAAAAAAAAAAGTTGGAAATACTGAATCTGCCTTTGCAATAAAAATAAATAAATATTTAAAGAAGATAAGAGAGTAAATAGTTCCCATGGAATATTCTTGCCTACTCATAAAGTGGTGGTGGTGGAAGAGACAGAGTTTGGGGAGGGGGTGAGGGAAATCCCGGCCCCTATAGATCTGTGTCATAAAACAGTGATGATAATAATAATAAAATAAGTGTTGGGAGGATGTGTAAAAATAGTGGGGCTCTTTTATATCTTATCTTTTGATTTCATACATCTGAGCATATCAGTAGTTTTCACTGACATCCTTCATACGCCTTGAATTTAGCAATAGGCACACATTTTTATCATTGAATGTACTGATCACTAGGCATCAGTTATTGATTGAAGCATGAGTAACAAAACTGCCCCTAATGAGCATGGATTTCTGATTCCACCAAACTGCTCCTGTTTTGTACATTCTTGATTCTGTATTAGAATCACCTGAGTTATAGCTCACACTAACTAACACACTTTTAGTTACAATGCGTTTGAAGTAATTGGCATTCTTTATAACAAATGGTATGTTTCCATGTTGCGCGAAGAATATTCATTTTGGTTGACAATTTATAAGTCATCATTTGGAACTTTGAAAAGAATGGCAGAACTCTTTGCACCTTCATTTTTTGAGTTTATATTTTAATTTAAACTTAGTACTATTTTCCCCAGATATCTTCCATGACATTAAATATCATCTTTTCTGTTATTTGCGAATCCATCTGTAACTAGAATACTTTTACCTGCAGTGACTCCAGCTAGTCCTGTTCATAGACAAAACTGTACTTGTAACAGTAGTGGTCATGTCATAGCTTAAGAAAAGCAGGGAAATGTTCAACCTAAATGTGCTCAAAAAGCCTTCCTTTTTTCATTTACTCTTGTTTGCTCCTAAGACAGTTTTTTAGGCGTTAGTAAAATAAAGTACAAGAATCCTAGTGGAACCTTTATGCCTTGATACCTGAGGTAGTTATGGAAGGTAGAATATGCTTTGATGGTGTTCACTTAGTGTTTGATCCAAAACTAATTTATCTGCTGGGGAACAGCTTTTAAATATAAGAGCAAAGGCAAGATACTTGATTTCTCTAAAGCAGTAAGTTCATAGGTTCGGGGGGGTAGGGGGAGAGGAAGAGCAGTAGTTATTATTAAGAAAAAAACAATCAAGATAGGAATTTCAAGAGAGTGATAAATTATCCATTGTGCTCGAAATGATCGATTGGTTTGGGCTGCACGCACACAAGCTGGAGCCGTTTCTGCTAATGATGAAATGTACACAAAGGCACCGATTCTGCAGAACTGCACACTACGAATAATGGAGCTCATGGGGAAAAGCGAAGTCTGGACAGAACATACTAAACCCACACAGTTCTGTCATTGTTGATGGGTTTCCAGTTACAATCCTACTATGAATACTAGCTCCATTCACTCTCCAGCAGCACTTGTACTCAGCGGTGGAGTCAGCTGATTCTGCAGCATACTGTCTCTCCAAGGAAAGAGACCAGAACTGTCGCTTGTGCTTAATTCTAAACACTTCATCCGCATTCAAAAATCACGTTCAAAATACAGAGACAAGTGCTTTCCTGTCTTCTTTAGACACAACCACAGCTTCAGCAGAGTATATGCCTCTTCAGAAATACAGAGGTACAGATTTCTCTCCATGGAAAGCCAAATTTTTACTACATTGAAAAAAGCCATTGTACTAGACATATGAAAATTATGCCTATCAGCTGCTGTGTGATATTTCAATACATGTAATCATTGTGTAGTATCCAGAGAAACTATTTGCTTCTTCAGACTTAAAAAAATTGTTTAAAAAGATTTACATTTATTTTTATTGCAAAGTCAGATATAGAGGAATATCTTCCATCCAATGATTCACTGCCCAAGTGGCTAAAACCCAGAGCTGCACAGATCTGAAGCCAGGAGCCTGGAGTCTCTTTCAGGTCTCCCACGCGGGTGCAGGGTCCCAAGGTTTTGGGCCATCCTGGACTGCTTTCCCAGGCCACAAGCAGGGAGCTGGATGGGAAGTGGAGCGGCCGGGATTAGAACCGGCGCCCATATGGGATCCCAGTGCATTCAAGACAAGGACTTTAGCAGCTAGACTACTGCGCCGGGCCCTAGACATTTTCTTATAGTGAAAATATATCCAGAATCTTCTCTTAGTTTTAGTAGATAAAGTTATTTAGTACATTAATAATGCCTACAGTCACCCTCCTGTCTGATGGAACTCTGAGTTTTTTACTCTCCAGCTATAACCTATGGCCCACTTAGACGGCTTTTTAAGGGAGTGTTTTGTTCATGGTAAAGCATTACATACCACCGGGGCTAACCGCCTCAGTGGGTCCTCATGGACTCTGGGGAGGCAGGAGTCTGTGACGCCGCTTCCTTCCGGTGCGCGCCGCAGCAGCAGCCTGATCGTGACTCATCTCAGACTAAATGCCTGATTGTGTGGAGTCTCATTTTTGTCTCCTTTTGTTTTGCCTACTTCAGGTAAAGATGATTCTATTATTTCAAGTCCTGATGTCACAGATATTGCCCCAAGTAGAAAGCGAAGACAACGAATGCAGAGCAATCTTGGCACAGAGCCGAGGCTGGTTCCTCAGGATGAGCATCTTCAAGAGAAGGAAAAGTAAGTCATCTTCTTGGCTAAGTACAGTGCCGTGGGCATTTCAGTAGCATATCATGTTAAAATTGTATATTTATTTCTGAGTTTAAATATAATTATATTTAAGGTTAGAAATTATTTTAGAAATTGTGAAGTGTTTAAATCATTTTTTCAAGCATTTGATTAAGTCTATTAATATTTAAAGCAGAAACGTCAAACATATAAGCAAATTTTCGTAGTTTTTGCAAATTAATTAATATTAGAAGCCAGCTAGTGTTCTGTTGCAATCTAATTTATTGCTAAAAGAAGACCTAAATAAGCCAGGTGATTTGGTTATGCTTTTTTTATTTCAAGTAAAAAATTGTCTTTCTAATCATCTTTTTCTATTGAATTTTGAAATTAAGTACTTTAATTTTTTCACTCTAAAAATATCCTCTATATCCCCATGTTGTTATAATGACAAGAAAAATTACCATTTCTTTATGGCAAGGAATAAGCATTTCTAAAACATATTAGCGACTGAATAGTAAAATGAATGAGCAAGCTGTTTTTGTATTTGTGTGTGTAGTACGTGTGTATTTATGTATGTTCAGAGAATACATTTTTCTCTCAGCTTTTCATTATTGAGCAAATAATCAATGAGCAGTGGTCATACGAGAAATGCTAGTGTTAGCTGTGATTTTGAGAGTGTGTAATGAGGGTCCCTGGGGTTCCTGAGATTGCCCTGCCTGTCAGCCCCTTACCTATGGGAGCCTGCATTGATTTCATATTTCTAAATAAAGTAACATGTCTCACTAATCGAATGCAGAAGCTGATTAAAGTCCTACTGATCTCAGTCAAGCCAACCATTGAATAGATTTGAAGGTATAAAACAGTGCCTTTTAAAGGGAATTTTTAATGATGGTTTTTATGAATGTATTCTTGTCACCATGTACTACATTTGTGTTACTTCAAATGAATTAATGGAATTCTGAAATTTTCCCAATGTTACTTTGATGATGACACTGTGGCCCATGTAAACGAAAATGTGACAGCCTCAAGAATTTTTGCAACTACAAAGAGTTCTTTTTTCTTTTTTAAAGATTTATTTACTTTTATTGCAAAGTTAGATATAGAGAGGAGGAGAGACAGAGAGAGCTATCTTCCTTCCGATGATTCACTCCCCAAGTGACCGCAATGGCCAGTGCTGTGCCAATCTGAAGCCAGGAGCTCTTCTGAGTCTCCCGTGCAGGTGCAGGGTCCCAAGGCTTTGGGCCGTCCTCAACTGCTTTCCCAGGCCACAGGCAGGGAGCAGGATGAGAAGCGGGGCTGTGGGGATCCTGGGGCACGTTCAAGACAAGGACAAGCCTCTAGGCCACGGCGCCAGACCCCAAACGGTTGTTAAGAGGATGAAGTTCCTAATTCTGTCACAGAATTAGGCAGAAGCTGGGCCCAGAAGAGTGCTAACCTGACTGGACAGAGAGCCGGAGAATGGAATGAGTTTTGTGTGGAACACACTGGCATCAGTTTGACTGTCTGTCATTGGCTTTAGTCTTTCCACAATCGAATGTTCTGCCTGAGGTTTGCTGTGTCAGGTTCCTTATGTCTTCAGACAATGTACGCAGAGCCCTGGATGCAGTAAACTCTTGATGATTTGTATTTATCATCTGATTCATTAATTAGCTATAAACCCTTGACCATGAACATGGAGTTCAAGTTACAGTATGACCTCTTGCAATAACAGGCTGAAAATGTTTCCCATTAAGAAACTAGAATTGTATGAATATTTTTATATACCATTGTGAACAAGGACAAAGTTACAAGCTATCAGAAAAATGCAGAAAACTGATTCATTCAGGCTTGTGAGTACATGTGTACTTAGCGAGGACTTGGTATAAGATGTGATATCAGATGCTTTCCTTTCAGGGGAGCAGAATGAAAGAAATATCAGTCCTATTTTGTTTCTTAAAAAGTTGGAAAAAAAGCCCTGTACTGTGCACAGAGTTTAAGCCTATCTAAGGTCACCCCACTCGTGACTGATTGTGATGACTCAGTAAATGAATGAATGACATGCTCCTTACGGCTCACAAGGGAGACTAAGACAGACTGTCTTTGGGTTGATAAATTATTTCAGCTCCTGAGATTTGGCCATAAAGTGGTTTAATTACACTTGAGTTCTTATTAATCTTTCTGAATGAATTGTTGCTTTAGCATTTGCTAGCCAGTGCTGCTCATGAAACCTTTTGATTCTGTGGTGGACTTCTTCAGTTGAGCATTGACAGGAAAATGTCATACTAAGAGGGTGTGAGATATTTGGGTGGGTAACTTGTTAAGTGTGTATTCTCAGGACATCCAGAAGAAGTGTCTCAGATGACCACGATGAAGAGTTTGTAAAATTCTATGTATAAGAGGAGTTTTTTTATTTTTGTGAACAAAGATATCTTACCACATTCTTTAGTTAAAAAGATGAACTGATAATGAGTTTATTGTGCATTTGTTATGTGTTTCTCTTTGTGATGAAGAAAAGACTGCAACAATAATTTTGATTTTGTAGTTTAAGTCACCAAAACGTACTAACCAATACATTGTGAAATTCATTTGGGAAATCTAACATTGTTTATTGTCTTCAATTCTTCATTTATGTAAGATTTCAAATATTTTTGTCAGTCCTTTGTGCTGTAATTCCTCTTCTCAGAAGAGGTTGCATTCAGTGTAGGACTACGGTATTATTTCGCATCAACTCGGGAATCATGGTAGATGCTGTTATTTGTTGAAACCAAAGAAATGTGACTATGATTTCCCTGAAATTGCTGAGTAAATTAGATACGGTCCCTGATCTCACATGTTTAGCCTGTGTGATAAGACAATACTGACTCTATCATTGCCTAGATGAGTAGTTGTAAACTTTTGAAGGGGTTCAGGATTTAGGGAAACACTGCACTGAGAACATGACTTGTGAGTCGTTATTTGGCCTGGGATAGTGAAGTTACGTCACAGACACAGGGAGCAGAAAGCATACTGCTCTGGGTAGGAAGCCCCAGCAGAAAGTGTGTGTGATGAAGTGAGGGAGCAAGGAAAAGCAGGTGTGAGTGAGGGTGCTCCGAGGCCAGCAGCAGCAGGTGCGGTGGCCCAAGGTGGGCATTCAGATTGCTCTAAGGTGGAACAGAGCACTCTAGTAGCTGATGTAACAGAGAAGACTTTTCTCCTGTTTTCCCTCCCCTTTGAACCTTCAGTTCTTGTTTAGAGTTACCAAGTTAGCACACTGGTTAAAAACTCAAACATTTGGGATATCATTGCATCTTCTTCAATCTAATGACCTAAAGTTATTTAGACCTTTTGTGCAATTTTTGATTTCCAATAGTAAGACCTTCCTTCTTTTGAAGCAGAGGAAATTGGAAATATGCTGGAACTTTCCCTGTGTGTCCATGGGTAACAGACAGAGTGGGCGGGTTGACAGTTTTGAGATGCAGTGGTACTCCATTTTGCCCATTTTGTCAGATATAAATGTTTCTTGAAGGAATAATTTTAGATTGTTAATGTTTTCCTGCTTTTAGTAAGACTGAAATTTTTGAGCCTGGTGTACATGTTGATAATCATTAGGCATGTGAGTGTGACTAACGCACGGACCATGGTGCGAGTCCTGCCTGGCACCTTGGCGAGCTGGTCCTCAGTTCTGGGCTGTCCTTCCCTGGCTCCTCCCTCTCCTGAATTGCTTGAGGTTGTGATTGGCAAAATTTTTTTGCCATCTTTTTATTTCTGTATGTTAAGTGAAATGAACCAGCTGACAGGATACAAAAATTGTTAAATCATTTTCTAGTTTCTGTCCTGCAGCCACATTTCATGGTGAAATACTAGGTGTTAACCAAGAATACTGTGAGGTTTTCTCTCTTTAAGTGTATAATGTGTATCTGATACCGGGTTTTATTAGGCATCTTGATGAAAATTGTGATAAAGGCATGGCTTATCATGCAGGAAAATAGCTAAGAAGAGTTTTTCATATAAAACTATAAAAATGTTCTTTAAGACCTCTTGGTATTTCTTACATCAACCCAGAAAGAAAAGCTAGTATGAATATCTTCAACTCTATTTGTATCAGTAAATTAAAGCCTATTAGGAACATTCAGTTGGTGTAATCACTGGGGCCCCGTGGACCAGTTCAGTTATTCTAACAAATTGATTGCTTCAGATAAGTTGAATCTATTTTCCACTCTAATTAAAATTAACAGGTAATAAAATCAACCAACTGAAAAAACGATCAATCTAAATGTCTTTATTAACATTTTAATGATTGGCATTTCTTCAGCTGTTTCAATCTGTTTTTTCCCACCTGGAATTCCTGCTTCCATCCTCTTGAGTGATCTGTTTCTCATTTCTATCAAAATATATCTTGAATTAAGCTATGGAAGAGGGCTTAGCTAACTCTGCATAAATATATAATAATGAAACTTTTGTCAGAACATGAGCATCAGATTCAAGATGACTAAAAAGAGACCAAATGAAAGTCCCCAGCCACTGGGGTTCCTCGGGTGTCCAGGAAAGCAGGTCAGATTTCACGACACCCATTCCATCACCAGAGAGAGAGTGGAGCTTGGCTGTGGCTGGAAGGCCAGGTGGACTTGTAGGAGCATTCAGATTTGAGTAGATGGAGGGCAGAAGTTCCAAAGAAAACAATTCCTTTGCTGTCATTTAGTCTTTCCAATGTCCATAAGGAGAATGGCCTCGTGTAATCTGACTTGATACCACCAGTCCAGGAGACAGTGTTCTGTATGGCTCATCTTCAGGGTATAGAGTCTCAAAACTCTTGAATAGCAAAGATTTTTAAATATGAGATCCTCTCCATAGAGTTTTAGGCATTAAAACATAGCACAAGAAGGAAAAAAAAAAGAACTTGTGTAAATAGGACGGTGTAAGGAAAATGGTTTGATAGGTATAGCACCTGCCTCTCTTCCTCCCCCTCATGGCATGCTCAGGGAACCTGCTTGTCCCTGATGGCCCTGCTGAGAGTACACCTCCAGGAACAGCAGATCCACTCCAGCCGTCAATTT